ACTAACATCATCATATGGAGGTTTGGGACATCCGTTGCTCTTTCTTCTAAACAGGTTAGGTTTCCTTTTTCTTGTTTTTCACGTAACCTGACTGAGCGTTGCTTTCAGGGGTTGGAGTAAATATCAGTTTTCTGGTAGGCCAATGCAGTCAGTGCTGTGTGTAGGCTTCAGGATTCAGGTCTGCAGGTGTGTTGTTGCTTTCCATCTTGAAGCGATTCGGATATATTTCCAGTTTTGTCAGGTTGAATTATTTCTCTTCTCGGCTGAGGATGGATGACAGTTGGACGGTTGCAGCTGCAGGTTGGCTTTGCTCAGCTGTTTGTACCGAAATGCATCATTTATCGTTTCAAGCATCCCATCCTTTAGTGTGGTCACTCGTTCCTCAACCGAGCAGAGCTCCAGGTGGCAGGTCTTCCTGCATGTTGTTCATCTCCATTGGCTCACAGATTGAAAGCTTTTCCTTCATTTTCAGAATGTGAAGATGTTCAATAAAGGCTGTAAGGGTAATGGATTGATGAACGGGAATAAAATAACAGCACAGAGATCAGAAGTGATTCAGCCAGATATAAACTGTAGCTCACCTGCTGCTCTGGCTTCTACTTTTTTTTCAATGAATTTTAATCAGTCAAACTTTTCTGCATTACTGCAAAACATGCAGCTGCACAGAAATATGGGACAGAGTGATCAAGATGGTGCTGTGTTGCATTATAAGAGACTGAAGCTTTTTCTTTAACTCTACCACCTCTTCTTAAGGCATCAGAGGATTAAAAAGGCTCCTGGATCTGCTGTTTAGACAGTTTCCATTTTAATTAGGAGAAAAAGTGCAGAAGACCTTCACAGGGAAGAGAGGAGTTGGTTTGATCCCTGGTTTTCCCTCGCTTTTGTCTAGGAAGCAGTACGCAGAAAACTCTGCCACTGTTTGATGGCAAACGATATAGGAGAGGAGAATCAATCATTAGCTCCCAATGCACCACCACCTGCTGGAGATGCCAACAACCTTTAACCCCAGAGGACAAAGATCTGCAAGAAATAGGTAGCAATCGCTCAGCTTCTGAGAGATCCGAGGGAAATATAGAGCTGCTATACATTCAAATACAACAAAACACACCAAAGCACGGATTTTCCCATAGAAATTAAGCCAGGTGCTGATATAAGATTTTCATACTTTAAGTTTCCTATAAAATATACCTGAAAGATCTTTAAAAAGACTCATGTAACAAACTGAGAAAAAAAAAAATTGTGTATTTTTTTGTATATTTCCACCTGATTTTGTATCCCAAAGACGTTTGGCTTATAAAATGTATTAATATAAAATTCATCTTCGTTTGTTTTTCCTAAACTGAGAATTGGGATAAGCCGATTTTCTTTCTTTGAAATGACTCGATTCCTCATGTTTGATTGATTTAAACACCTTGAACTATAGAAAGTTTTTCCTTATAAAAAAAATCTGTCAAATTCACTTCTACAGCTCTGAGCTGCCTGAAGATTTCATGCTTCATGTTTCACACTAAATCTTAACATGAATCTATTGTTTTGAATCAGCAATCAGTTTGCAGAAATCTCTCCATGTGAACGTTACAGGTCGTATCACTGACAGCCATCGTTCTTCATGGGGTGTTTCTGGCCTTTTTTAAAGTCCTGAAAAAAGAAGATTTAAGGCTTAAGATTTTATGTTATCTGAAAATTGTCCTTGGAGGAATTATCAGAATGCAACTTCACATTTTTGAATTGCAAAATAAGATTTTGATTTTGTGCTAAAATTTTAACATTATATAAACTAAAGAAATAAAATTTAAAATTGAATCGGTCCAAATTTTGAGTCCCAGATCACAGTTTCCTTTGTCAATTATGTTTCTGAGACTTTAACCAACTACAGTTTTTGTTTTCATGTTTCTGACCATCAGGTCTAACAAAAGCATTAAAGGATCCAGATGTTTTGTTTTGGACCATGACTGAATACAGAACATTGATTTAGAGGCTTTGATCCAATCCGACTGAAGGAGCATTGTGTGCAACAAAATATTGAGGTTCTACTCTGACCCAATCATGCTGGTTTTATCGGACTTAAAATTGAGCTCTTAGGGAGTATTTCTTTTTTCTGAACCGGATGGTTTCTAAATCAAGGTGGCCTTTAGTTAAAATAAATCTACCATGAGACAGAACAAAAAAAGGTCTCTGATGTTATGAGACTATGTAAAAAAGTAAGAATCCCGGATATGTGTAGTAACAAAATAAACCGTATTAAGTTAAACCACATCTAATAAATCTCTTTACTGTTCATTTTCTTCCCCTTTTTTGTCATTCACTCAAACTGATTTAGAAATCGGATCACCAATTTAAGAGCATCTAGTGTCAGATTTTATTTCACCCCTTTCATTTCTGAATAAATCTTTAGAATGCAAGTTGATGAGAAACTGGAACATGTTTAAATATCCATGTCAGAATTATAGTCTCTTTGCTGAGCAGATTAACAAGTTAAAAGAAAAGACATTAAATAAAGAGATGGGATAAACATTCAGTTAACTTGACAAATCCAGAGAGGTTGGAAAGTTGTCTCAACAAAAATTCACGTGTTTGTGGTTTAAATACTAACATGAAAATAAAATGATTCAACTCAATATCTGGGTGTTCAACAGTTTGGGGGTTTTTGAACTGGATTTCTAAATAAATTGCATTTAACTAACATATTTTTGATAGAATTTTATCTCAGGTTTTTAGTCATAGATTGAACCAGAAATCTGTGAGATTTAATGGACCAGTGCATAAAGTCGAACTCTTTCTCAGCTACAGAACATTCAGGATTAAAGATTGTGGGTGAGTTCCAGCCTGATCTGGTGATCTCCTGCTCAGCTTCAATGAATGATCTAAACTCAAACACTTTCCTCATCCAGACCAGAATCAATAAGTTCTGATCAGTTTCCCAGCTTTGGTTACTTGGTTCTCCTTAATCCAGAATCCAGATATTTTCCTGAATTAAATTTTTTGAATTAGTTGAATCAAAGCTTAACTCTTTCCTGATATAATTTATTTTATTTTAATAACCCTAATAGAAGTTTTTTTTACTAGTAGCATTTTATTTGTGTAATTTATTTCGGTTCTCAAATTATAACTAAAGCCTCACCTGAAGCTGTTTGACTTTATCTGGAAATTCTTCTTTTTTTTTATTTTTATAAAATCCGTCTCTTAACTTCAAATCTAACGGATGAACACCAGCTATGGGTTCTCTTCGGCACATCCATCATCTTCTTTCTCACTTTAGGTTATACAACTGAAAACACTCAGATTAACATTTTCCTTTTTTCTTTCTTTCTTTTTTTTTTTTTCTTTTTTTGGAAAAAATTAACCGAAATCAACAGTCCCAGCCTCACAGGCTCAGAAACTCTGACATTAAACCCCGGAGCGCTTTTCTTGGGCACATTTTCACCGATTCCTGCAGAAGTGGATTCCCTTTTAGGACAAAGGTGGGTTTTTTTCATCATAATTATTATATATGCGTGTATTTTTTATTTCCTTTGCATTAAATTTTCTGTTTTTTTGTTTTGTTTTGTTTTATAAAACATATTTGACATATTATTACTCTCCCAGATCGACCTCCAACCTGAATGACTTTTAAATCCGACATAAAGGGAGTTTATTCAGCTTAGTTACAGATTTTGTTGTTGTTGCCGCAAGAGCTCGTTTTTTGTAGTTTGTGAAATGTGCCACCCTCATGAGATCTAGATGGAATATCCTGAACTTTTATTTGAGAAAAAAATTAAAATTTAAATCAGCACAATAACATGTTATGCTTCGGGTTGTCAAATGATAAATGTCTTAATTAGTTACTTACATTTTTTCTAAGCTATATAAAAATAGAGAAATTTATTAAGGATGCCGCAGAAACGTGAAACGAAACGCTTTAATCTTCATGTGTTTTAAAACCACAAACGAAAATCTAAACCTGATCACTAAAGTTGGAAGTTTTTCTGAAACTTTTTACAGGACGAAAAATTTAACTTTTAAAACTGTGTGCATTTAGAATTCCAAAGCTGCCCTCCTCTTAGAACTGATTGGTGCGCAGATTTTTGTGGCTTATTTGCCGCAAAAGTTTGCGCATCTTCCTCCTCCTGTTGATGGATCTGCACTAAGTTCAACCATGGCAGAAACCCGCATTGATTTATTGAAGCCAAGCGCTCAAATTTCCCATTCAAACTCCTCGGAGCGCGGATTGGGGTCAGTAGCAGTTCCCTTTAAGAATGAACTTTAATTGAAGCCACACATTGCTGGTTTTATTCTCAGCTTCTGGGAAACATGAAATAAATTATGACGAACTTTAAATGATTCTGAATCTTCTCAAAGATTTATTTTTATTTTTTAAAAGTATGGAATTATTTTTAAAACTCGTTATTTCTTGTTTAAAAGCTTAATAGGCGGTTTTTATACCTTGAAATGTTGAGCCGCGGTGTGCGCAGCAGCCACGGCCTCTTTGCGCTCTTTACGCGCTGTGCTTCCGCGGCAGGAATAGTATATTAATTGTTTTTAAATGAACAAGGCTAAGTTTAGATATTTATCCATTATTTCTGGGTAGTTTTAGGACAAAGCAGCGAGAAGCAACTGCTAGATTTAAAACCGGTGGAGAGAAGAAGGGAGGAGGCGTGAGGAAGCTGCTGCGCGCCGCCGAAAATCATCCCAGTGAGTGAAATGATGGAAAGCAGGAGAGTGTTTGAGTTTTTAATTTCTCTTATGATATAAATTCAAAATATGTTCATTTTTTATGTTTTGATGATAAATAAATCTAGATGCGCTTAATGCCATAGTTTATCTGGAAAGTTTTCCTCAAATCTTCATCCTGCTTAAATTATTTGCAGTTGTCAGATTTAAAATGTCCCGATTAGTCAGTATCCCAGTCGGACTTAGTTTAACTTTAACTCTCTGTTTTGTTCATGAAGCCTCGCAGATCCTCCTGTGTGCTTTCATGTCCACGCCGGAGTTTCTAGGTGCAGCTGCGGTGTGTGTTTTACCTCTGGGCCGCTGTGTTGGCGTCCAAAATCCCTGCGCCCTGCATCCAGGAACGGACCGGGGTCATGCCGGTGGGGAGCGGCTCCTCCTTCATGGTCAGGGCCCCCCGGGGGAGGCTGTCCTGGATGGAGAACATCAGAATGTCCTTCTGGGAGCTTTTTCTTCACCAGAAACAAGGCAGAAGATGAAGAGTAATCCTCCCTGTACCAAGCGCTCAAAGAAGCCAAAGGACCACCTGGATTAAGGTGGAGAAAAGAGGAGTGATGAGGAGGAGGGGAGGAGGTGGTTGAGGAGGGCGGGGGGGAGGCCCAGCAGCTACCTTCCCCAAAGTACCGGGTCCTGATCCAGAGAAGAGCCGCGGATTCCTCTGGGCTTCGCCGGGCTTGGTTTAGATCCCAGCCGCGAGTCGGAGCTAAAAGAGGGCGGAGGGAAGAGCGCGGAGCGGGCAGAGCATCTCAGAGGAGCTGCAGAGGGTCCGGGGAGCCGGAGCGCACGAAGCCGGGATCAGAGGGAGACGAGCAGCCACGGATTGAGCGGCGAGTAAAAGTGGGATAAAAAAAAGGGAGAGCGCTTCAAAAAGGGAGTAAAATGAAATGATTAGCAAACAAGAGGGAGGGACGGGCCATGGAAAGCTGCTGCTCTCGGGGGAACAGGGGGATTGGGCAGCGAGAAATCTGCCCTTCCCTCCCCGGCTCTTTATGGCTCCTCCGTCCCGGCGGAGAGCTCCTTCTCTCGGTCTCTATGCACAGCAGGTCCCGGGGGACCCGCGTGGAACAGAGGGGGCGGGGCCTAACCATATAAGGAATCCTAATTTGAATACACGTCTCACCTCTGGCGTCTGATTGGCTGCAATTTCTAGGCGCGTCACTTATTTTTTTTAAGTGCGCTCCAAATATGGGATTCCGCGTGTTGGGCCGCGCGGACTGAGGAAAAAAAGGTAAACACTAGACGCACTGATGACATGTGACCGATGATGGCCCCTGAGAGCACAGGGGCCCAACATGCATTTCCAGCTGAGTGACTCTGAAGCAGGTTATTGATCTGGATCTGGATCCACCCGGACTCCAGTTGTGGTGGATTTCTGTTTAGCGCTCCTCATTCTGGCTTTTTATTTCTACATCCAGACATATGGCGCTCTGCTTCTCTATGGGCACAGCAAGCGCCAACATCACTAATCAGACGCGCTTCCGCGCCAGAAATGATTTCACATCAAACAATTAAAACAGAACCGGATCCAGTGCAAACAATAGCAATCTGAATTTCATTACAAACATTCTGGAAGTTATGTTTGATCGCTGCTCGTGACTTTTTGTGCACGAGGATGCGGACATACCCTAACGTGTGTATTTGTCAGTTTTTGTTTGAGTATTTTTCTTCTTTTTTTTTTTTTTCAGAAATCCTCTAATTAAGCAGAAACTCCGGAGCAGCACTGATTAAATATTTATCCTCCTTTAGCCCAGTGCCTTCCTCCTGGGAAATAGAAACGTCTGGAAATCCTGGAAAAAAAAGAAAAAAAAAACCTCAGTATGGAGGAAGAGAGAGAGAGAGAAGTCAATGAGATACAGCAAACATGGAGATGAAGGGAAAGATGATGAAGAGGAAGACAGACCTAATTAGGAACACAACAACAGGTTCATCGATCATGAATTAAATCTCACTTCAGATATTCATCCACATGTTTTAATGGAAAAAAGTGATTTTCCTTATAATCTTCAACTCAGTTTATATCATTTCTGAAAGCGTCTTGGGCCTCAGCTCTTTAATTCCTCAACCTGAATACACTCTGAAGATCCTGAAATCTTTCCCATATATAATATTCCAAGAAAAAACCTCCTGAAAGACTTAAGTCTCATCAGTGATCTCTTAGAAGCATAAATGAATATGGGCCTCTCTTCTCCAAATCTATCTTTAATTTCTTACAAATAGATTGATTTATGGAATGAAAAATCAAAAATACTAAATATAAAAATGTACACTGGTTTGGTACCTCAAAGAAATGCTATAACAGTTTAGAAGTTCCCATGATAGCACTGTATCACCTTATTCCAGTCAAGAATATTTCCTCAAATGTAATCTTAATTAAGTTAATGAACTAAGGGGTGAGAAAAAAAAAAAACAACCAAACAGACAAATGACATAATTAATTTAAAAAAGTTCCACAGAGACTCCTTAAATGTTATTAATCATGAATTTTAGAGTTTCTGCTAATCCTTTTATTCTTGTTTCTCCAAAATTATGTTTTATCTTAAAGAAACATCTCAAACATTTTATTTTTAGAGCAGTGATCTAAAGTCCAGGATCCCCAGAAATCTCTGTGACCCTGTATAGCTTAACAATCCACACCAACAGTCCTTATGTGGACCTGTAGAGGACACATGAAGGCCAGGTTTATAGCAGCAGAAGTTGAATAAAATGTACCTCCTACATTTTGAACTTATTTATGGCAGTTTTCAATGTATTTTATTAAACTGTAGATTTTCTTAAAGTCTTTTTCACAGATTATTTGATCAGCACCAACTATAGACCAAGAGCGCCCCTCAGCGGATAGAAGTGAGAACTGCTCTACAAAATCAATCGGCTATCTTGAGATTTTTAATTCCTATGATAGTGTTTGGTTACTTCTGGTGTTTTGTGCTTTAATATCCACACAAATAAAGTTCTAATCAAATAATTGTTGGAATTTAGAGTAAAACAGGGAAAAATGTATAAAGAGAAATATTTAACAGATCACCCGACAGTGGTATGGATCTGATCTGTTCTCTAAAAACTATTTTCTTTTTCAGTGAGGAAGTTTTAACAAAAATTATATATATTTTTTCTCAATTTTATATGTTCTAAATAATTTAATATTTTAATACTACAAAATATTATTGTACAAAATTTTTAATCTGAAAATTTGTTGTTCATCTAATAAAATATATTCTAAAATATTTTACACTTCAAAGTCTGAACTGCATTTTAATATGTTTTAAAATATTTCTGGACAAGCTTCTTCTTCTCAAGTGATCTTGTAGCAAAAGACCGACGGCTCTTTCGTAGCCACCGTACCTACTGCTGCTGCATGAATCACATGCAGACCTGAATAATACTTTACATAACAGATTAACAAACATCTAATATTCTGAGACAGTTTGTTTATTTGAGCCCACTGTGGTTTATTATTTTTATTTTTTAACCTGCCTATGCAATGTATTTATATCTGTTGGTTTATTTTACTGATATGGTTTAGAACAGAAGGACATATCCCTGAGGGGTCATTTAGAGAGCCAGGGCCAGGGGGAGCTAACAGTATAAAAAAACAAAAAACAAAAACAGAAATATAGGTAGCAGTACTTTAAATGAAAAGGAGCAATTGAAACGACGCATAAACAACAGATCTGGCAACAATATCATGATAATACACATGGAAATACTCCAATATTGCTCATTAGAAATCAGTTATTCAAACCCCTCAGAGTTCAGAAGTGGAAACAAATTGGAAACAATAGTCAGTCTCCTTCTCTGGGTTTTAAAGGCCAGAAAGCAGAGCTTGCATCTTCTGGAAAGATAAAAACAAAGCATGAGCAGGATCACTAAGGAGTTAGCCTGTTGCTGTTGCACAAAGCCCAGGTGGTGAGAGGTGGGACTAATAATCTTGGAACACACCTTTAAGGTATAATGAACGCAGTTCCTAATCTGTTAGGTCAGAGGTCTTCAACAGGGGGTCCACGACCCCCAAGGGGTCTGCTGAGGTATGCAAAGGGGTCGTGAAAGTTTTGGTTGATTACAAATTTCTTTTTTTTTATATTCCGCCCTGCATTTTGTGCACTAATTGAAATGTCTTTTAATACGCATTAACATGAATTCAAAACACTGTAATAAACAGATAAATGGAGGCAGAAGATGTCTTTCAGTCATCAATGCACACATTCAGCGACACACCACACAGGAGCTCTTTCAAGCTGGGTTCCGTTTCATTCACAACACCCATCAACCAGAAATCAGAATCAGAAATGCTTTAATAATCCCAGGGAGACATTACTCCATCTCTCCATCAGTTTGGTGGTCTGGAAAATATTGAAGACCCCTGTGTTAGGCAATAGAGGGGAACTAATTCCATGTAGAAAAGGGTAATACACTTTCAATAAATAAATGGATGTTCTGCTCATGTACAGTTCGTTAAATTGTTTTGTTATTGAGCTGTGCTACATACTTAAATGTTACTTGCCTTTCTGGCTTTGTACCCCTTGACTTATATTATTTTTAGATGGATAACTATGATATCAGAACAAATGGATTTTCATTGCATTAAATCATTTAATAATTCAAATGTATGAGTCATACAAACAAAGCAATGGGCTAACCCCCAATAAGCTATGGTTTAAATGATAGTGTTTCAATAACTGTTCCCAGGTGTCTGAGGTAACGACATGCAACTTGCAATCCCAACCCATTGACTTATTTGAACCTATCAACCTCAGTAAACATCAATGCTCCAATACATGATAATACAACATTAAATTAAAGAGGAAACCATCATGTTCGCAGGTATGGAAATGTAAATTGTTGGACGCTAACTGTCCAACATTCACAATCTGAACCTGGGGATACATTTTGAAAATTTTATTTTAGTTTCAGATGTCATGTTCAAATTCTCTCTGCGTGAGGACACATCCAAGGTTTAACATTTAAGAATTTTATTTTGAAAAACCACACCTGCTTGAATTACAACTTTTTTAACAAATAAAACCTGAAAAGTGGGGCGTGCAAAACTAATTGGACTCTTTACTTTTCAGTTAAGTTCAGTGAGGATCTCTGAATTATCCAATGTTGACATAAATGACCAATGATGATAAATAGAATCCAATTGTTCTTAATCAAGTCATCATCTAAATGCACCTGCTCTACGATAGTCTCAGAGGTCTGTTTGAAGCGCAGATAGCCTAATAAAGAACAGTGAACACACCAGGCAGGTCTAAGATACTGTTGTGTGATGCAGGGTCTTCTGTCAGAACAGCATACGCTGTCAGATCGGCATACATTGTTCTAATAAGCATGTGCAACAGAGAATTATTCCCACATTGAATTGTAGCAGCAGTGCAGCGACCAGCAAAAACACATTTATTTTAACTTTTAAAAAATCAGCAAAATCAAATATATCAGCTTTGATTATAATGTTATTTCTTGGATGCAGAAATGGCCAGAGATAAGAAATTTGTGGGATGTTGAGGGAAGATTCTCTATAGCTAAAACTGTATTGGTCAATATTAGTTTAAATAAGTTACCTTAGTAGGAAAAAACTTTGTGCGGGAATTTAAATTTGGTTAGATTTTATTTTCATGTTTAAAATCATAGAGAATATTGGCTGTGCTTTATATTGTGACTAAGAATTAATTTAGTTTATATAGAAACAAAAAGTATGCCGATCTGACTCTAGATTTGGATAGAAAATGTTTTGCCAAGCTTGAAACATCCCAAGGAGCACTCTGAAAGCAATTACACTGAAATTGAAGAAGTATCAGGAACACTGCAAATCTACGAAGACCAAACCAAAATTAAGTTTTTGTAAACAACACAAAACTGCTTTTCACCCCAAACACACCATCCCCAGAGTCAAACATGGTGGTGGCAGCATCATGGTATGGGCCTGCTTTTCTCCAGCAGGGACAGAGAAGGTGGATAAAATTGATAGGAAGATTAATGAAGCCAAAAACAGGACCATTCTGGAAGAAAACCTGTTGTAGTCTGCAAAAGACCTGAGATTGGGATGGAGGTTTATCTTCCAAGATCCAAAACAGAAAGCAAAATCTATAACAGAATGGTTCACAAATAAACATATCCAGGTGTTAGAATGGCCAAGTTAAAGTTCAGACCTGAATCCAATCAAGAATCTGTGGAAAAGCTGTTTTGCAAGAAAGAATGGGCTAAGCAAAACTGATAAATACCCCCAAGAGACTTGCAGCTGTAATTGCAGCAAAAGGTGGCGCTACAAAGTATTAACTATAGGGGGCTGAATAACTTTGCAGTGCCAATTTTTTTTTTTTTATTGTTAAAGTTTAAAATATCCAGTAAATGTTGTTCCACTCCATGATTATGTCCCACTTGTTGTTGATTCTTCAAAAAGAAAAATACAATTTTATATCTTTATTTAACTAAAATGTAACAACAATTAACTGTGCAAAGTGTGTGTGTTTTTTTTTTTTTTTTTTAGGTCCTTGGATGGTGAGAAACATACAGCTGGGTTCAGCAGAATTATTGCTTTTAGCCAGAAAATATTTTCTGGCTCATTCTGTTGATCAGTAGGGAGACTAAATGTTCAACAAAAGAGGATCTGAGAGACTTCTAAGTTACTAATCTGTTCAAAGCACTGAGGTTCGTGCCTTTTTAACAATCTGTTATTTTGCATAGGAAAATGTATTTTTCACTCAGGGTTCTGGTAGATAGAGTGTTTACACACAAGAGGGCAGTGAAGTACTAGAAGCAATGCTGTTTTTTCTTGGTTTTTTTTAGGTCCTTGGATGGTGAGAAACATACAGCTGGGTTCAGCAGAATTATTGCTTTTAGCCAGAACATATTTTATCTCTCTGGCTCATTCTGTTGATCAGTAGGGAGACTAAATGTTCAACAAAAGAGGATCTGAGAGACTTCTAAGATACTAATCTGTTCAAAGTACTAAGGTTTGTGCCTTTTTAACAATCTGTTATTTTGCATCGGAAAATGTATTGTATTTTTCACTCAGGGTTCTGGTAGATATAGTGTTTACACACAAGAGGGCAGTGAAGTCCTAGAAGCAATGCTGTTTTTTTTCCTTTTTCTATTCAGGTACAGAGATTTTATTACTGACACACAGCTGGTATGTGTCTGTGTCTCCGATTCATTTAGTTTGATCCGTGTTTGTCGGCCACAGATATTGTTTTTGCATCCATATTTTAATTACATCTTGTGATTAATCTTAGGAAATATGTTTTTTTTTATTTAAAATGTTTTCCTTCTAGAAGGCAAAATAAGAACAGATATATAATAACCCTTTATTGACCATAACAGGAGAAATGTAAGCTATAAAGTAAGAGTCAAAAAAGGAACAAGTAGAAGCACACTAAGACAAACCTTACAACTCAAAACGAAAGAAAGTGTATAACTAGGAGAAGGTTAGATTTATATTACATGCAGTTGAGATCTAGAGGCAATTAACCTTTTTAAAAAACAAGAATTAAACTTGATTTGTGTTTATTTGAGCACTCTTTTAAGTCCAAAGACCCCAAATCACTTGACACTACCTTGGACCCTTTACAGACACTGTGGTTTGCTACATAATAGCCAGATCAGTCCTGTGGTCATACTTAAATTATATCTTTTTTTATTTATAATAAGAAACAGGAATGATTATGAGGAATGTGAGGGTTATAGATAAAAAGAGTTTAAATTACTTTTCAAGAAAGTGTTTAAAAATATGCAATTGAAAGAGAGGATTTATATAAAAATAAGAGGGAAAAAATCTTAAATCAATGTTAAGAAATAAGGGGGATATAGATGAAATTATGATTATGGATAAAGCGTTGTTCTTATTTTTATACGTACAAATTTAAAACAGATTTTAGAAGGTGTAGGCTATCAAGTTATTCAATCACACAGTAGGGGGCGGTATGCACCTCTAAGGTTAGTTGAAGAACAGGATGATGTCGAAGAGGATGATAGTGACGTCATCACGTTCACATAGACGTCAGCACGTATCGCCTGGAAACCAAGCGTAAAATGAATTCAAAGGCAGAATAAGCTCCACCGTCAAAAAAGTAACAGGAAAAAAACTTTCTAACTTCATTCGCCTGATTCGGTGGCAGGTTAGTGACTTTTTCCGTAAAATTTTTTTGCTTTTTTTTTTTCGCAGGACAATTCTTGTCGATTAACGGAAGTTGTTAAAGTTCGGTGTCCACGTTGACAGCTTGTTTACAATGGTGCCCATTGATAGGAAGCTGGCAGTTGGATGAACTAGTCCTCACTTAGACTGAGAGAAACTTTAATTTATTTGAGTTTTTCACGAAGTTGTTGAAAATCCCGGTGTATATATCGTCAACTTGTTGTTATCAATAATTAAACAGCTTATAATGTAAGCCCCCCCCCCCCCCCCCCCCCAATTTTAGTTCACCCTTTTTTGTCCTTTGTCTAATTCAGCGAGTATAGCATCGCTTAAAGTCTTAAAGGATAAATATCTTCTAAACTGTCAATTAGAATCTTTTATTTGGTGACATATTTGAGCACTTGATTAACGATAACTTCCCATATGTCGTGTTTTTTCCCTTGCTAGTTGCAATCGACCATTTAAACATTGGATCATTTGATTAATTGCTTGAATTATATTTTCTTTATAAATTTTATTGTGAAGTATAAAAAAAAAAAAAGTAGAAGCTATATTTAGGTCTGAGCAAATGTCCAGTCATTAGACCCTCCCAGGCTTCTGTACTGCATTGTGATTGTTGCTACAGTAGCATCCATCTATTAAGGGCGTTTTCAGATGCTGTTTTTATTTCCTGGGGCTGCTTGTGGTCAGAATCACACCTTCAATGGTCTAGCCTGGAAGGTGCAGCGACCAACACACTACTAGAGAAGTGTTCATCTGATCGGCTGTTTATTTCTTATTTGATAATTGCTGAACTTTGTTCACTGTAGGCACTGGAGTCCAGCATGCCGGCGAAAGATGACTGCTGCACACCTTTTGGGGATGGAGCCAAGGCTGACCTGCAGCAGCCACTGATTCTGGAAAGGGTTGAGAAGCAACCGGAGAAGAAATGGCATACGGTTCTATCAGATCGGGTGAAGAAGCACTGCTCATGCAGCCCGGAGAAGGTGAAATCCAAAATACTGGGCTTTGTCCCAATTCTGAAGTGGCTGCCTCGCTACAAGCTCAGAGACTGGATTCTCGGTGATATTATGTCAGGAGTTATCGTCGGGATCCTGCTGGTTCCTCAGTCCATAGCCTACTCCTTACTGGCTAATCAGGACCCTATATATGGTTTATACACGTCTTTCTTCTCGTCGATCATTTATGCCATTTTGGGCTCCTCCAGGCACATCTCTGTGGGAATATTTGGAGTTCTCTGTCTGCTTGTGGGTCAGGTTGTGGATAAAGAATTGGTTCTAGCAGGATACTCCCCAGAGAGCAGCATTGGTAATAATAGCAGCGATACTTTGTTGGCCGTTCAGGGGAACAGCAGCAATATGGGATGTGATAGGAGCTGCTATGCAATCACAGTAGGAGCAACGGTCACCTTCACTGCGGGCATTTACCAGGTAAATTTCATAAGTCTCTAAACAGGAAATTAGAATTGGGTTTATTTATTTTACTGTTATTTGATTATTGACATTTTTACAGCTGGTTTAGAGTTTAACCTGGCTGCTAACTCCTGTTCATCTCTTTCTCTCAGGTGCTGATGGGCCTTCTGCAGATAGGCTTTGTCTCCGTCTACCTCTCCGACTCCCTCCTCAGTGGGTTTGCAACAGGGGCCTCCCTGACCATCCTCACATCCCAGATCAAGTACCTCCTGGGCCTAAAGATACCCCGGCCGCAGGGCTGGTTCACTCTGTTCAAGACCTGGTATGCTCTGTTCAGCAGCTTAGGAAAAACCAACATCTGTGACCTAATCACCAGCTTGGTATGCTTGGCGGTCCTCATCCCGTCAAAGGAGCTGAATGATCGATTCAAATCCAAGCTAAAGGTAAAAAGCTTAAGTTTTAGATTTGTGTTTCTTTATGCATGTGTTATAGCCTGGGTGCCAGTCCGAACTTAGTCCCACCCACAAGGTTTGAGTTCGGGGAAGTTCGGTCTGGCTCTGCTCCATAGTAGCGCGAGTATTAAAGCCCACTGTCAGGCGATCCAATCAAATTGTCAGGGCGGGCTTTATACGATGATGGACAGATGATCAAGAGTAACGTTATCAACCACGTGACCAAAGCGCGCTTGGGTGACAACAATAATGGCTGCCGCTGGAGAGTTTGGGTGAGTAGATTCTGCTATCAGGTCTGTTCTAGAAGATATCGACAGCAAATTAATTTCAAAAGAGGAACAGAGAAACGCGATCAAGTCTCATCTTCTTATTCTAGGCGTGAAACTGCACGCTTTGATTTTTGTGGACAACAACTATGCCTCGCTTAAGATACGTCACGCACTCCGTTGCTCTTATTGGTTGTAGGTCTATCCAATTGAGTGCAGAGGCATTTTTTTTCCTGGTTCGTTCAAAACACGCCCCATAATCACAGCTCTATGGAGCAGTATCAGACTCATATTCTGACTAGAATTGAGTCGGACTACGTCAGGCTACATGTGTTAGACCAGGGGTTTTCAAACTGTGGGATTGTTAGCTCCCCCTCAAAGAAGCAATAGACAGCTGATCACCACTACATAATTATTTCTGGCACCATTTCTTCCAATTAACTAATTTGTCCCTTTAAGCTTAAAGAAATCTATTTAACATCCTAAAAAGCAGGTTTCCAACTCTCATCATTTCAAATCCCTGTCAGCTTCGAGGAACCTGTGACATCACATATTTTGATATGACCACATATAAACTCAGGACTACAGGTGTAACTGTTTTGGAGAACAGCACCACCCCTCTCTATTCTTTAAGCGTAAATGTTAATAATGTGTAAATGTAGTAATTTAGTTAAACAAAATCTTTCTTATATAGATATATCTGCAAGACAACAGCAGCTCTTCACAATGTATACAGGGTTTCCGCAGGTCATTAAAAGTCATATTTTTAAATGAAGGCCTTAATTGGCATTAAAATTCATTAAATGTGATTATAGTGGCATTTAAAATGCTTTATTAAAAAAAAAAAATAAAGAAACGTTTATACAAATAATTTTGTCGGATAGATCAGATATAACTGGTTCCGCGTGTTTGCTGCTTCCGTTTTATCGTAAAGCCGTATGTTTGGAAAAGAAACTTGAGGTAAAGAAACATGGCTGCAGACTGTTGACGGTAAGGATGACGAAGGATTTTGCCGTGTCATATATGAGAGTCATGGGTACTTGTTGATGGCATTAAAATTAGTACTAAGAGCATTAAAAAGCATTAGATTAAAGTTACCCTGGTATATGAATAAGGAACATGTTAGCATTACAGCTTCAGTTATAAGTAGCCGTTAGTCATATTTTAACCAGTTTTCATCAATATGAGGTTGTAATGAGCAATAAGCATTCCTATAACAGTGCAGCACATACCTGCATGTGTATGCTTTTCTGCATAACATTGGTCCATGTATCCCCTTTGTGTTTTGATCATTTTTAACAGAAACGTCATTACAGACAGACGAAGGCTATAGCTAAGGAGGCTATATTTTACATTAGTTTTTATACTTCCTGGTTTTTGTGTCTCCCCCTTAAAAAGCTCTGGGGCCCCTTGGGGAACCACACCCCTCATTTTGAAAAGCCCCTTGTTAGGCTGTTTAAACACTGAGAGAAAATCCCATTCTTTACGCCAAAATAAAAGCCTGAGTTATTGTTCCTCAGCTGCTCCTTTTCCTTTTCACTTTTTTAATGCACTCGTCAAGGTTCTTGGCAGCACATTTCCCTCTGGCAGCAGGTTTAGGCTTAAAGTTGTCAAAATGACGCTGAAATAAGGTCGACATTGAATCATGAAACAGGTTTTGTTTTTTTACACATTTACATCCTTATTTGCACATATATGTGAGAACCTCATCCAAGGCCTTAAAGTCTGTGGTATGTAAAGGTGGCCCACCCACCAAACCCTGTGCTCCTTTGCTTCTGTCATCAAATCAGACTCACCCTGTGTGCGGTTTTAGGTAGGTGAACATCCACCCCCAACCCCCCACCCCCACCCCCCTACCCCTAGGCCGGCAAACAGGGCGACCCTTGAAGGCAGGGATGAAGGTCCACTTTCTGAAGGGTTCTCGAACGGTTGGTCCTTTAACGTAAACCAGCCAATGATCAGAGTTTTTTTTTCCTACTCAATAAAACCAACATGTTGCTCTGGATATTTGCCTGCTCATTAATAGAATACATTTTTCTCTCAAGAACCAACAACAGTTTGGGGGAAATGGAAAAGATTTTCCAAGTATGCTTAAAAAAAAAAAAAAAAAGCAGGGAAAGTCACACAAATTGATAATTGAGGAATGTATATATATATATATATATATATATATATATATATATATAAAAAACTGAAAACATCATGAGGATAATATGAAATCATCAAGGATTTATATTTCCCCCCCCTTTTTACATTGGCAAATGTTTATGATGTGTTGTTCATTTGTTGTTTCAAAACATTGTATATTAGACAGGATTATCAACAATTCTTTTTAGTAAGTCAACATTACTTAAACTTGTACTTAAAAAAAAAACTTTTATTGCACATTTTAGATAAACTTTCAATGACAAAACATAAAAATAATGAAATGCTTAAGACTTAATTGTTAAATTGATAAAGTATTTGATAGATGTATGTACAGCGGGTAAAATAGATACTAAACACGTCCCCGTTATTTATAGTAAGCGCATTTCTAAAGGTTCTATTGACATTCATATTTACCTGGTGTTGGGAACAACCCATGTAGTCCATACATAGAAAGAAACCAAAACAAATAAGCCCAGAAATTATATACTTATGTGTAATGGTGTGATATCACACAGAGAGAACGTATTTATTATGCCTTTGTAGGTCATGACAGCTTCAAGTCTCCTTCTGTATGGAGAAACTAGTGGATGGGCTGTGATTTGGACCTATTCTTTCACACAAATAGATTTTCAATTGGATTCTAGTCAGGGGATTGGCAGGGTAATTCTATCAGCTTTACAATTTTGCCTTTAAGTTTCAAGTGTGAATGCAAAATTGCACCACACCTGACGGCGCAGGTATGTAGGAAGAGGGCGTAGCACAGAAAGTGTCCAAAGATTGAAAGAAAGGATCCTGCACACTGCATGGCTCTCACTCATTCATTTATTGATGTATCGTTTTGGCCGGTATGACCTTCGTCAGCCTTTACCGTCATGAAATTTTCCTTGAATGACATTTTGGTAATGTTTATAGGTCATCAGTCCCGGACAGGATGGCTTTCTGATCAACCATTGAATTCACATTCCTTTCTGAATTTTGTTCAATACCTTTTTGTTGGTGTAATTTTCACATATTTACACAAAACTTAACTTCTGAGCTTATTTGTTTTGGGGGTTTTTTTTATGTATTGACTACTTCTTTTGTTACAAACAGCTGGTTATAATTAGGGATGCACCGATCCAATATTTTTATCGGTATCGGTCCAGATATAAGGAAAAAAAACTAGATCGGCATCTGTGACAATTGACTTGATTATAGGGGCCGATCTATTCATTCTAACTCTATATAATATGCTCTGCCATCATGCGGCAGCGCAACAACACAACACGATCACATTAAATATACCACCAACTTATTGAAACACCTCCAGAAGTTTAATAACAAGAAACATGCAAGGATTGTCGGACTCAGCAAACAAAAAGGAAGCAGCAGGAAGCAGCTAATCTCTTTGGAAGCAAAGCAAAGAAGTGAAAATTTTACCTTGTAACAATATATAGAGGCCAGAAAACATCACAGAGATGATACTCGATAATAATGACACCATTTTTTTTTTTTACATGTTAACCAAGTCAGAGAACGTTTGGTTTAAATTTTGTGCACAGTTGTTAAATAAATTAGTCATAATATTTATATGTTTTTTTTTTAAGAAAAGGGAAGTTAAATCATATACACAGAAGAATTATCTGTTTTTTTTTTTCACACAATAAAACTATTCTTTAGCTAATAATTCAGTCGGGTTTTTGGTATCGGATCGGTATCGGCCAACATTAAACGTCAAATATCGGTATCGTATCGGAGGTGAAAAAAGTGGATCTGTGCATCCCTAGTTAAAATCGTTTAGTTTGGGTTTACGAAGGCTGTAAGTTTTTTTTCTTTTTCTTTTTTAAGAAAATTGCATTTTTTTATGGTGTTTATACTCCAGTTAACAACTGGATTCAATCACCTAATTAGTTCTCTGAAATCAATAAATTGGTTTAGCCCTATTTGCATGTTGTGTGCAATTTGTTAGCAACATAGACATTAGAAACTAGAAAGAAGACTGGCTCACAGGCTCAGTTTGTCCTCTGTGGCTGTCAGACTGAAAATGTTAGCTTAAGGCTTAATGTGTTTGGACTTGGACAGTCAAACTCTGCCTATGGAGAAAATGTTTGATCAGCTTATGTTTTTCCTTTATACAAAATGTCTTCAGGGCGCAGCAACAGAAAACTTATTATTCAAGCTCTTTTTTTCCCCCTAATATATAATAGGGGGTTTTTTTAGGGTTCACTTTAGAATCAAGATTCTTCATTGTCATCATATCATAATGTAATTTAAGGACTATCTATCTTAGAATAAACATATAGGACATAAAATATGCCAGATGACCATTTCATTTGACTTTTAAAGCTTCCACTCACTGAAATAATGGATTGGCTGAGGTCTCAGCTAACGTCTATCTTGGCCATTGTTTCAGTGACAAACCTTTGTTAACATTTTGTTCACATGTGGTATATTTTAGATATGTTTAGTAGAAGTATGCTAGGAAAGAATATCTATTCTAGCTGTTTGCTCATAAACAGACTCAACATGCATGACCCAGGCTTCTAGTAACCCTGATTCCAGACTTTTGGCTCTCAATGGTAACTTTTTATTTGATGTAGAATTCTCTTTATTTATTTTACTCCTTTTTCTTCTCCCCAGGCTCCGATACCGTTTGAGCTCTTTGTTGTTATCATAGCAACCCTTGCCTCGCACTTTGGTCACTTTAATAGTGAATATGGTTCAGGGGTCGCTGGAGACATCCCTACAGGCTTCCTCCCTCCACAGCTGCCAGCATGGTCCCTGATCCCTAATGTGGCCGTCGACGCCTTTTCCATCGCCATTGTGGGATTTGCCATCACCGTCTCTTTATCTGAGATGTTTGCCAAGAAACACGGCTACACAGTGGACGCCAATCAGGAAATGTACGCCATTGGCTTCTGCAACATCCTGCCCTCTTTCTTCCGCTGCTTCACGACAAGTGCTGCTTTGACGAAAACTCTCGTCAAAGAGTCAACGGGATGCCAAACCCAGATGTCAGGACTGGTCACGGCTGTTATCCTGCTGCTGGTTCTTCTGGTTATCGCTCCACTCTTCTATTCCCTTCAGAAGTAAGTCTGCCTTAACCTCTTACACCCTAAGGGGGTATAAATAAATTTCTGCCTGACAAAAACACACAAAAGTAAATAACTTATAGCCTCAAAGCTATTAGATTTAAGAAGAAACTTTTGGTACGTCTGTAAAGGTAAGATGTCATAGAATGGTTTTCTGGTGTCAGCACCATTGTAGCTTTGACCCTGCCTGAAATATTAGGGACAAAATATTTTGCATTTTTTGAACCTCGCCAAAATTTTCTTTGAAATAAACATTGCAAAACACTACCAAAATATTATTTATAGCACAAAAAAGTAGTACAGACTTTTAAATCTAAATGTTGTGTAAAAATATACCAAATTTGGACTCAGTCAGATGAATCATATTTATTTTAGAATGGTATTAGTGAGAAATTTCTTAGGCGGAGAGGCCATTTTGGCACATTTATCCATAAATGTCACCAAACTGTGCCAAATATGTTTTTTACATCAATACTGGGGGTTTGGTAAAATTACGAGGTCATGTAGCAGCTGGACCCGCCGGTGGGTCCGTAGGGTTCAAGGGGATAAGTTCTAGATGAATGAAAAACGTCTAATTTATTATGTGCCTCAAAATACAAATGTCCTGATATGATTTGGACAATCATGAGGAACATTTAACATCTTAATTACATCAATGCAACATATCTACTAGTTTACATTTTCAGTAATAAATAACTGTCCTTGCAATCAGTTTCTCCCCACTCGGTAATCAATGATGCCATGCAGGTTATAGACCTCCATATTCTATTGTGTCTGAAGGTTTTGCATAGCCTATCCTATTTAATGTTGATCATGTTCAATTTACGCTTTTAGTTGCACTAATAAAATATGAAGCTGGACTTTTTTCATAACCTTTAAAGCAAGAAAGCCGCAGCCTATTTATTTTTGGATAGCTGTGTTTCTAATTTTGTTTAAAACAAAGAATTAAAATAATGTGATTTTTAGTTTTTGTCTCATTTCATTTTGAAACGGTAAAACCAAAGAGCGAACCATAGACAGATAGAGATCAACTTTAGCAAAGTCTGAACTGTAAAATGTTCGTAGTCCTTCAGCAAACCGGAAGCTTTATAGTTTACAATAGGAAGTGATTTCCTTTGAAAAGAGGTTTCAGAGGTCAACTTTGACATCATTATAGATCAGATCTCATGTTGACAACCTGCTTCTCTCTCAGCAGGAGCTCTGTTCAGTACAAACTCCGGACACAGGTGGTTTGCAAAGAACAGCAATGATTGAGGGAATGTGAATGAACTCTCAATCATCAGGAGATTTATTAACATACAAACTCTTTGGATTTTTTCCATGCTTTTTTTTAGTATGTTATTGTATTTAGTCCTGATGCTACCTCAGCAGTACATAATTCTGATGTAAAAGTACAATGAAATGTAGTTTTGACATTTATTTCAAAATAAAATAAAAATGTGTGGCGTGCGTTTTTATAAGCCTGTCGCTATATGTGTTATTTGCTCTTTTGAAGTAACAGTAAACAACTTTGATGGCACATAGTTTCAAATTTTCAACAAGTTTGTCTTCAAGCATATTTGCCTTGATGTTGATGTGTTAAAGTAGTTATACTCACCTTCCTGTCTGCAACTTCAAAATAATTTGTTTTTATCAAACTTTTAACCTATATAAATTGTGACATTTTTATGTTTAGAAGTTTATTTATCCTATTTTGCACCAACATACTTTTGTGTAATCTCCACTAGGGGTGTGCAAAATAATCGTCATGATGATGCATCGTGATTCTAATTTTCGTGATCTACTGCATCGATTCTTGACGCCAAGTATCGATTATTAATATAGAAAAATTAATAAATAAAATTGCATGAATGGTTGGCGAACATCAGCCTAAAAAAAGTGTAATACAACTTCCAGTCCAGTAGATGTCGCTGCGGATGTGTTGACGCATGCTGCCTTGTGTCACAAGGATTTCCGGCCGCGGGATACTGCGCCGAGTCATTCAAAAACAAAACATGGAGGAGAAAATATTGCAATGCATCGCAATAATTCAAGTATCGTGATGCATCGTGATAGAATCGCATCGTGGCCTGTGAATCGTGATTCGAATCGAATTGTGACTTCTTTGGCAATACCCACCCCTAATCTCCACTTTCTATGTGTTCATCATGCAGAGTGTGTGCAGGTCACTTTCCTCTGCTGCTACGTATAAAGAGGAAAGGATGATAAAATATGCAGATTTAAAGCGGGTGTGAATCGGTACAAATAAACTTTAAAGAAGTTGCAGGTTACATGTTCTTTCACATGGTTTCTCCTTAGTTTCACGCTTTTCCTGTTTCTCCTGATCCCATCCTGCTCACACAGATCCCACTCCTCTAGAAAACTGGTAACCTTGGTTGACATGGGTTTTTAGTTTTATTCAGGCTGGACTTTTAATGCCCCATATTCTGCAAAATTCACATTAAAAACATTTTGTAACTGTCATGTGTCATGAAGCCATTGTCCACTTCTTGTCTAATGTGTACTCAAAATGGTCTGTTTGAAAATCATGCACTTTATGATGTAATAAGGGGAAATAAGCTGTCCGTAGCAGCCCATACTTTGGTCAAGCTACTGTCTTCATCTTATGTATTATCCCATTATCCCTAGTCTATCTTTATGCACTCTGACTGGTTATCATGGTTGTGGGTTGTGGGGGCGTGGCCTTCAGGAGGACAGGGTGTAGAAAGCCAAAACAGCTCGTCCAAAGGAGGGCTGAATGAGGACATTTTCTGTCTGCATCATCTGAGAGGAATTTTTTTCTGCTCAAATGTCATAAAACACGCTCTAAGGGGCCATTGTTGATATTTTTAATTCCAAAATGTAGCTTAATATGAGACTTTTGAATGGGCCATTTTAAAACAGGAACATGCGTTGATGAAATCTGACTTTGTGGCTCTGGTTGGTTGTTAGTATTTGTCCTGCTATAAGATGAACCTCCATCCATTTAGGTTATAGTCTTTCTGTAGCCTCAAACAGGTTTTCTTTTGGTCTTACCTTGCGTTTTGTGCAAACTGTCTTTTACCAACTTTGCCTTTCTTGCCTGCTGTTGCTGGAGGAAAACCTCAGCATAATTCTGCCAACCCCGTGTCCTGAACTTCTTCTGACTTCTGGTTTGTCGCTCTTTCATGAAGGCTTTATTTGTGGAGATAGTTCCATCCCTGTGGCTCCTCCAGAGTAAACATTGACCTCTTTGTTACTTCTCAGATACCTGTTCTTGATCAGTATGTCTTTTTACTTAGTTAAGCATATCTTTAGTTGTGTTAGACTCTTTCTATTTTCAGATATTGGATTGAACAGATCTATAGCATGTCCTGATTTAGAGTTCCCTACTACTTTCTTTCTAAAATTCTTGCTGTGCTCATTATTGTTCATTAGGCTTTTTTTTTTCTTTTTAACTGTGCTAATGTTCTCCAACAAACCCATAACACCTTCACAGAACAGCTTTGTTTATCATCTCAAATAACATCTGGAACCAATCGACTGATTAGTAAGCTTATTTATTAAGTTTATTACCTTTTTTTATGTATTGAACATGGGTACTTGTCTTTCATTCCAGTTATAAACTGCTTTGTGCTCAATAGCTCACTAAAACAGCTTAAAGTTTGCGGCTTTGAGGTAAATTTCAAAAAGACCAAGTTTCGATACTTGGAGGAATGCTTTGCTCATCATGGCGTCTTTTGGGCCTCAGATGATTCCCTACTGTATGACTACTTGTACTGTACATATCTTTAAAGGTTCCATTTTATGCTACATTTGAAAATAAGAAATATTTATAATGATGCCCCCAGAGCTTTTGTTTTTGGCAGGTTTCGCAGGAAAATTCCTCTCAGTTTATGCAGACAGACCAAAAATCTCCTCCTTCAGCCCTCCTCTGTATGAGCTGTTTTGGCTTTCTACGCCCCTGTCAGCATGAAGGCCACACCCCCAAAAACCGCAACCGTAACAACCATAGTTTGTATAGATGGCCTAGGAGCATGGGATAATAAATTAATTGAAGGCCAGAGCTTGACCAATGTATGGCTACTCTGGATAGCTCATTTCCCCTCATGACATCATCAGGGGCATGCTATAAAAACAGACCATTTTGAGCACACATTTGCTAAGATGTGGAGAAAGGCAGAGATGGAGGAGGATTTTTTTTTCTTTTTTTATATTTGTGAACTGTTACAACATGTTTATAATGAGAATTTGACTTAATATAGAACCTTTAAGCTCTATGCTCACTTGATTGAAAAAGTAAAGTGGTTCCGCTAAATTCTTGGTACCTCCTACAATAGAAGAGAATTCAGGAAACTCCTTAGGTATTTGTTTTACATTCATTTACTTTCCATTTCAGAGCAAAGAGTGACTGCTCTCTCTCTCCTTTGTATTTTATAGATGTGTTTTAGCGGTTATCATCGTGGTGAACCTTCGTGGGGCCTTAAGGAAGTTCAGAGACATTCCCCGGATGTGGCGTGTAAACAGAATCGATGCTTCCATCTGGCTGATCACCATGGCGACGTCAGCGCTGGTCAACACAGAGCTTGGGCTCCTGGTTGGGGTTTTGGTGTCGGCCTTCTTCGTCCTTGGCCGAACCCAGCAGGCCCAGGTCCTGCAGCTAGGCCGCGCCGCCACCAGGGAGCACTATGAGAATGTGTCATCCTACCACGGCCTCCAGACCCATTCTGGAGTGGCCGTTTTCAGATACGGGGCCCCGATTTACTATGCCAACCAAAGCTTGTTCAAAAAGTCTCTTTACAAATGTGCAAATCTTAACCCCGTAAAGGAGAAAGTTCGGCGTTTAAAGTTCATGAAGAACAAAAAGCAGGAGGAGCCTGGAGCGAAGTCTGAAGAAAAACTAAGCAAAGAGAACGAGCAGGAAGCTTCTGCCTCCATATCAGTGATGCTGGATGAGAACTCTTCCATAAACTTACGCAGCTTAGTGATCGACTGCAGTGGCGTCTTGTTTTTGGACACGGCTGGAGTGAACGCCCTGAAAGAAGTACGCAAAGATTTCAAGGATCTTGCAGTTGAAGTAGTTTTAGCTCAATGTAACACCTCAGTTCTGGACTCCCTGGAAAGAGGAGGTTACTATGACAACCAAAAAGATGGAGAAGTAGGAAAAAACAACATGTTGTTCTTTACCATCACCGATGCCGTCAACTATGTCCAAAGCCTAAATGTTCCTAACGGAGACTGTGAAAACAAATCTTGAAGATGCAATAACCCACAGAAGAGCTTTGTTTACATCTATTTAATATCCAATGAAAACACAACCAATCAGTAACTCAGTGATGCCGACTTGCCTTATAATCCGTCTGCAGCAGATGAAGTTCTGTGTTTCTGAAGTTGATCAGAAATATTTATTCCCGTTTGAGCAGGGTAAATCAGTGTTTCATACTACTACTGGAAACTTTAGTTAGAATGTTACCATAAGCTCCTATATTTATTTACTTATTTTATAAATGAATAAAACAAGTTGGAGTATTTTAGGGCAAAAATGATGAAATATTTTTATTATAGTGTTAATTATAAAGAAATAATCTTATTTTTATGGAACTCTTTTTTTTATTAGATTTTGTGTCTTTTTGTGATTGGAAAATCCTTCTAAATTTTCATAGTGTTTAAGTTTTCTGTTTTTAACGTTTATAGTCAAAAACCAAATAATTTAAAAACAATCTCAACTTAAGAACAGGATAAATTCCGTCCTCTAGATTGAAGGAAACATCTTCTGATCTTCCAATTGACACTGTAGTTGTCATTCCTGTCAAACTGCTCTGTGCCTTTGCGTTATGGAAAGTTACTAGGATTACAGGAAGTGCTGACGCCTGTTTTAGTCAGGCCCAGACAGTTTAATTTGATCTCTGATTAAACCAATGCTTCATACTATCACATTTAAATAGTTAGTTTTGCAGCAATTATTTTTAGAGCAGCACTATCGTTTTGTCACATATTGTTTCAAAAATGTTTTACCCATTATATTCATGTCTAAGAACTGTTTTTGTCCAGTCATATCACATCAGGCTGCTCTGTTTTAATCTTCTGGAACGAATGCTGATCAGCCTCTTCATATTAAATGACCCCAGTAACTTATCAGCTACATAAACTGTCATTTAAAAGATTTTACTAATGGAAATGAAACAACTGCAATCCTCAGCAGATGTAGTATGAACCTTGATGTTAAGATCAAAGTACATTTTCTTCCTCAGAGGTTAGGATTTGAAAAAAAAAAAAAAATTCTCATCTTTCATAGTTTTATAATGTGGCACGATTAACACAATCCAGCCTCAGCTGTCCGTTTTAAACATTGTCTTAGCTTCAGATCTCGGTAAGTTTAGGTGAGCAAGTCTTTTCTTATAATCATGTCCTGACCTTAGTGACCTTGGCTCTGTACTGTTAGATACATAATTACTAATTAAACATTTTCACACACTGATTATATTTAAAAAGGAAAGCACTTTGTTAAAAAATGTTTTTTTCCTCACAGAATAACTACTGTACATCATATAAAAGTTAGATTTTTCTACATTTTTTAAGGAATAATGTTGGTGGTTTGAAATATGTTCAGCAAAAGTAATGTCTTAGTAAATATCACCTGGTTAAGTGAAGAGGATAAAGTATAGAACATCAAATATATTTATAATATATTTATATTTGATATTCTGTACTGCCTTAATGAAAGTAAGATTTTAAAAAACAGAGCAAGCAGTGAAAGTTCTAATTCTAACATTTTTTAAAGTCTGAAGTTGCTCCTGAATATTTAACTGGAGAGCCATAGCTGCTGATCCCATATTTACTCATCCTTTGATCTGTGAATGTTTTCTCATTTTTGACAAATCAATGCTTTTTTTTGTACAGTTTGTAATTATTGTTCAGAGTTATACAATGTGATACTGGAACTTCAGTCAATAAGGTTAAACAAAGCACATAAGGAATGTGTCGCTCTAATTGTGTTCATCTTTTGCATCAGCCTCACTGCTGAACAGGATGATGTCACTGTCATTTACTGTAACATGAAAAATATGCAGCTAAGGTTGTTTGAGGCTAAAGGTATTGACATGGGAGATTTTTACACCGTCCTAAAACATCCTCTTTTTATTTTGTAATGTTTGATAATGGCAGTCAGACGTCATGGGTTGGGTTAAAGACTCTATGGAGCAGAGCCTGTACATATTTAATCAGTCAACAAAGTGACGGGCGATTACACCCTCTAAGGGTTAATGTAGGTCATTAGAATGAAGGCCAGAGCTGTTACACAGTCATAAAGGTTAATAAAGCTCATATGCTAGATATTTATAAATTGTTTTATTATTGCATATATTTAATAGTTATGGATGGTGTAAGAAACAAGACCTCAGGTTTAGTCTCTCCCAGAAGAAATAATGAAAAGTGGTTGTTCTAAAAACAAACAAAAAGAAGAAGGAAAAAAACTATAATTCTTGTTTATATGTTTCTGCCAAAAGCTGTTGCTATCTGTCACCAGATGCCTTAATCTACAAATTAGGTCTGTATTTGTAGCACTATTTTATGGAATTGCTGTATGCACATATTTGGGGTGTGACTGTTCACATTGCATTAGCACTTATAGTGTGGCGGGGGTTTGAGGCCAGACTTTATTTTTTTTTTTATCTGGCTTCTCCTGTTTAGCTTGTTTTGCTTTGATAATCAAACACATAATGGCAGGAGTGTGATTGTTATTTTGTTGAATTACATGGAGAGATTCACTGCACTAATGCTTAAAAGTAAACGTGATCTATAAGTGCTGGTAGGGATCATTTTTTGTCAAGTTTAAATGATCAGATTAGTATAAAACTGTCTTATTTATTATTAGTTTAATTCTGTACAACAGAGTCCATCAGGTATTGTATAGATATGCCAAAAACATTTGTATGCATCTAAAACTTTATAATAGAGACTTTATTACTAAAACCAAAGTATTTAAAGCCAAATTATGGTTTAGAACCTATATGTGTAGTTTGTAGTTTTTGTATGGGTAAATTCTCAATTATTTTTTGTTATAAGGCTCAGGTTTATTTTTGCTGCTGTTTATTTATTAATCGGCATAGACAAGAGACTATTTCTGGGTGTCTTATAACAATGTTTGTCTTATAACAATGTTTTATAATATTTTATCAAATAAAAGCCTAATTATACAAATTATTTTGTTGTTCTTTCTTTTTTATATGCAGTTTAATCTTAAAGCTTTAATTCCTCTAAATAGCATGGTCTAATGAATGCTACATACAAATATGCATGTTTCACCAACTCTAAGCTCTTATGATTCCTTTAATTTGTGTAGAAAATACTATCGTTAGTTTTACATAGATTAAATAAATACCTCTCCAACTTCTTAATTAATTCCTTAAAAGAGTTTCAGGAATGGAGCCTTAACTCATTTTCTGCTGCGCATCCATGCAGTGAAGTCTCTGTTTCCTATAGGATGACGTTAAGATACAGAGGTTTCCATTTGCCCTCCATGTCCTCTTGTGATATCCATTGCTATAGAATACACACTCATATAATGCAGCACTGCCACCTTATTTTCTTAGTTTATTAATAGTCTCTAAGGCTAATCAATAGTGCAAAGATCTTTTTTGAAGCCTTTAAAGTAAAATATAAACTCAATAAATTCCTGCTTTTTTGTCTCATGTTTAAATGACAAAAAAAGAGAAAAGGATAAAATAAAATATCCCTCGGTGGAGTTATACCCTCGCTGGATTTAAACAGCATCCTGTGTCACTACCAGACTGAGGTTGCAATAAAAGGGGGATAGACGAGATTCATTAAAATCCGGCTTTACTTTCACCTTCAGAGGTTGAGGTAAATAATGAAGATGGGTTCTCAACAAGCCACCATGCAGGGAAGAGTGACTCATCAGGTCGTCATCTGCACCAAACTCTCAGCGGTGTAACTGGCTGAAAGGGAGCCGCACAGGTGTATGTTAAAAAGGCTGACGAGCCCTCTGCCTTGCTCCTCATTAGAAAAAGGAAAACAACACAAACAGGACAACTAAAGGGACCGGAGGGATTGACTAACCTGTCTCCTAAAATAAATAAAAAAATCCTAATTATTCAAATATTTGAGTTTTCTTCTGTTTACCTCAGTGGAAGCCTGTCAAACAGAGCATGGCAGTGTAAACAAGTCATAAAAGATAAGCTTTCATTATTAGTCTAATGACTGATTTGACTTTAAACTTTATGGTCCCCTATAACCGGTCTCTCTCTCGTTTATTAAGTGTGTATATTTCCAGTCAGAGATGTAGATACATTTATGAGAAGCTCAAATGCCAAATTTTATTAGGTCTTTAAAGCACAGTGATTTTTCAGTAGGATTATAACTTGAAGGGGGACATTCCATAGAGGTTAAAGACTGAATCCCTTTAGAACCCGTTTTCATCTGCAGTTAGGATAAATGTGACATCTAGCAATAGCAATTTTAAATTCTACTGTCATTCTTTCGATTGAGGTGAAGTAGCAGAACCCAAAAAGTATAGAGGGCGATCTTTTATTTCTGGGTGGATCATCTAAATAAGAGGTCCTCCTAACTGTCAATCACTCAGGTGAAATGTTTACGTAAGGCCGTCCTACGAGCTACTGTTTCATCCAGTCATTGGAGCTCGCCTTTCTCACCACGGTTCTTGGAAAATGAAAATGAGCGTCGTAAGAGAAAAAGTGTCTACGAAGTCTATGAGAAGTAGACTTCGTAGCCTTTTAAAAAAAAAACCTAATTATTCACATATTTGAGTTTTCTTCTGTTTAAGCCCTTACTCTATGAGAAGAAGAGTAAGGCATCACAAGATTCTTTCGCGCGTTCACTGAAAGCAGAGGTCGGGCTTCCCACTGATGCCTCGTTTACGAAGTTTCCTCTTGACAGGTAAAGCTTGGCATGCTATTTGGAGAAATCATTTCACATCACTGCTGGTAGATGGTATCTACCTCTATATTATAACTTTCCAGGGAAGATAAGTTTATTTTTTTTTGTAATTTGCATCGTTAGTAATTATACGGTGACTATAGATCCTTATTTACCCCGCAAACACGTCCAAATTTCCATTGCAGCACACACACACACACATACAAGCATGTCATGACTTTTCAATGTACCAGTAGTCTTATTTGCAGGGAAACTTTTTCATGTATAAATTTGGTTGAGATGAGATTAATCTTATCATTGCATGGGTCCCTGCACCTCCCGGAGGAGAAATGGGTTTGTTTATGCTCTTAGGCGATCCCTCACAGGAGCAGGTACAGGATTGTGTATGTGCATTTTTTTTATTATTATTATTTTTTAAGTGGAGCGAGCACGTCTTTCCAAAATTTCACTATATCTTTAAGTCAATTACTCATCTACCTTGTTGTACCACTGCCAGTAAAACAACCACACTCAATGCCACCAACATATTTTACAGTTATTACATTGTTCTTTGCTTACAAGCCTTTCCTTGACTCCTTCAAACACGTGTTTTTGTGGTCAAATATGAGAGCTTTTCTTATCATAAGCTTCATTCTTCTTTGCCGTGTTCTCAGACTGACTGCTGGCATTGATAATCACAGCTGCCGATGTACTGAGGGGCTTTAACCTTTGTACTTTCTGCACCTCTACCTCCAAAGATTTTTTTAAGTGATGTACTGTAATAACCCTGTCAATAATACTAAATAAAAGCTTTAGGGGCACATATGAGTGTGCTTAATGAAATGCTTAATCTGGAATTCTGTCCCTTTGCATTAAATGTTTTTTAATGTCTACAGAATGAATAAGGTTGGTCTGACCCTGTTTTTTTTATCCACCCAAGGATAATTAGATAACACTTTGTTCCGGGGGAAGGTGTAGATGTTTTGTGCGAGGCACTGAGAGAAGACAGACAAGTTTTTGAATCTCTTGTGTTTCAAGGTGAACCACATTCCTCCTTCTGCAAAAGGATTAAACTCCCTCTTAAATTGTTTCCTTGGATATGTCTATTGGAAAGATGGGAATGTGTTTAGCACTACTTTTTTGATACTTTCTGATCTAACACCGATAACAAACAGTTCTGTCAGGCAGGACAGCATACTGATTAATGGTATCCATGATAATCCTCTGAGACCACGTATCTCCTCTCTGACGCTTTTGGCAATATTAATGCTGGGATTTTTGTAGATTGGTGAAAAGGAAAAGTGTGCGAGGATCATCTACCAACCTCATCTTTTACTTAAGGCTTCAAACATATCTCCTATGACATGTTTGGATGTCCCAACTTCACTTACACTGCTATAAATCCTGCACTGAATAAATACTGCATTAATTGGCAATATCATTTAAAAAACACCCAGTGGATGTGTGCATGATGCAATAATTCAGGTCAACCAAGGTGAAACATTTTGGCTACCAAACCAACACGTAGCCATTGAACTTTGTTTGCAAGTAGCAAACCATGGGAGTTAAGGCTAACAGTGATTTGGTTGAAAGGTTTTAAGCCTTACATGACGTACAGAGGTGTGCTTTGTGCTATGTTTGATTGCTCCAATGCAAGGTGGGTAATTCCAGTTCCTTGCGGCTGGTATCCTGCAACCTTTAGATCCATCCTTGGTCCAACACACCTGAATCAAACAGCTGAGTTACCTCCTCATTATGCAGACAGTTCCTCAATATATGCAGAGAGTTCTCTCAATCATCTAACCACTTGATTCACGTGTGCTGAACCAAAAGACACATCCAAAATTTGCAGGATAACGGCCCTCAGGAACTGGAATTGTCCAACGCTGCTCTAATGGAATTTTATGGCTTGATAGATAATGGAAAACCAAAGATTCCAAGGCTCCACTGAGTCCACTATGTGGTTCAACAATCCTGAATCACAATGTGCTCGTGTGCCTTTTTCATGCATATATGACTGCAATAATAACGCCATGACGCCTGTCAAAACTTAACTTGACTGCAACTTGTCAGAAACTCCTGAGGTAGGGCTGGAGGTCGGTTGCTAGGGCAGTAATGTTGATAACTTTTCATAATATTGATTTCAACTCTTGTATATTTCTCAAATGTGAATGGTTCAGTAAAACACTGTTTACTTATGAAGGCATATTAGGGCCATTGTAGAAAAAAAGAAAAAAAGAAGAAGAGTTCTGCCAGAAAACTCTCTTCTAAGGCTGGAAAGTCACAAATTTGTTTGTCTCCAATGACCAACAAGGAGAAGCAGCTTCTTTGGACAGAATCTTTTCCTACTTTGGGAATAGTTTTAGTTTTTGTGCAGATGCAGCATATGCAAGGGCAGCAAGTTGTTTTCATCTCTCTATGTTGCCGTACGCAGTCCTGGTTGTAAAAGACATTCCACTCTCACTACTAAAACACTTTAAATCATCAACTTCCAAGCTGTTTAAATACTTAAAATCTTAATTTCCTTCTGGCATCTTTGAATGATGATTGGTTGCCAAAAAAATTACAAAATTACAGTACCCATAATATACTGCAGGGCCCGAGATGTGCAATTCGCATAGTCTGTATCCCACTGATTTAATAATTTCCTGTTCCTGCTAGAACACATGCATTGAAATAACCAGCTATTAGTGCCAAGCACTGTGCACAAATAATGTACTTTTCCAACAAGCTCTTGGTAATTAAACATTCTTATATTAATAATGGAACTACTACAAATAACTTCACTCAGCCTCATTCCAAAACCTATGAAAAAAATAGGTGTTACTGTATAAAATTACATTTTTTATTTTATGGTTTCATTTGCACTCTGTTCTAATGAAATACCTATGTACAACAATAATAATAATAATAATAATAATAATGATAATTTTAAAATCCCTGTTTTTTGCATTTTAACCTACATTTTACCACTAAACTATTGACCACATTTGATAAATCTATTAGGCCACTAGATGGCAGTAAAGACTAGGAAAACGGATCAAACATGCTGATAACTTTGATCCTCTTTGAAATTGAACACATGAATAAATTAATTTCCTCACATTGTACAGAAGCTTTTGAACCTTAAATAACATGATGTTTTGTT